CCGGGCGCCTGGGGAGGGAGGGGGCGCCCGGTGGACTTCACGGAGCCCGGGGCTCAGAGGCGCACAACCGGGGCGGGGGGACACCGGGCCCCGTGGCCTCCATGTCCCGCCCTGAGCCGTGGGGGCCCGCTGCCGCCCCCGCGAGCCGCGAGTCGAGGAGGTGAGGGAGTGTCTGGGCGCTGCGGGCCCTGGGAGACAGGAGCTGCTTGCTGAAATCGGAGGAAACAGAGCAGGCGGCCTTCTCCGTTCTTACCTAATGGGGAGATTGATGCGATTTGTGTTCTTCATTCGTTTTCCGCGGACTGATGGGGAAAGCAGGCTGCAGCTGAGACCTCTCCCAGGGCTTGCGGGTACTCCCACGTTGTCTTGAGAGTTGCCTGGGCGCTAAGTCCATCTCACGGATTTTGCACAATAATCGCCGCCGTACCCCCCTCCCCAATCGCCACTCCCTGGGGTGTACCTGGAGGGTTTGAGGTCTCCTGGTCCTCACTGGGTGTCTCTGAGGTACGAGGTACGCAGTGGGAAGTGAGCGACAGTCTAGGGACCCAAATGACCCAGAAGGATCTGAAGCAGTGTGGCCCCATCCCAGAGCCTTGGAGACTGGATGTGATCACCCCGAGGTGATCCAGCTGAAGAACCGCACTGCTGGAGGCTGCAAGGAACGGGCACTTGGAAGGTAGGACACTTCCTCAGTCATAGCCCTTCAAGCTCTCTCTTTCCCCTGGGGAGCTGTGCTCTTGTGCTCCCACCGTGAGGAGGCCTCTGAGGTTCCAAACTGTGTGGGGAAGGAGGTAGCTCTATCTAGGAATGTCATTACATTGGGGACTCCAGGCCCAGGTCTGCTTGGGAAGGACGAGGGCTGGAGAGGCTGGGCCATCCTCAGGGCTGCCAGGGAGGTGGGGGTTCTGAGCCAGTGTGCCGGGGCCAAAGGACCCTGGGCAGCTGCCGCTCCACCTGGGGCATCTTCTCGCTTGGCTGAGCCACGTCCCGGCACTCCCGGGCGCTCACCCTGCCCTGGGCTCCGTGAGTGGGCTGCGTTGAGCTCTGGCAGGGACCTTGGACGTCCATCTCCAGCCTGACTCTGACACATCAGCTCGCCTCCTGCTGTGGCATCAGCCCCACTTCCCTTTCCTCCTTTTCCAAATCTCTCTGTCTGGCAGGATCTGGTGCCAGGGGTTTCAGAGTCAGACTGCCCAGGGTTCCAGTTCAGCTCTGCCACGTACTAACTGTGAGACCCCGGGCAAGTCCCTTCATCTAACTGGGCCTCAGTGTCCTCCTCTTAAAATGGGGCTGATATTAGATCAAACCATATGAATTTGCTGTCTTTACAGGTCAAAAATGGTTGGATACTGGCAATTTCATACGGTTCAGCCTAATGATGCCTTCTGCGCAGGGCTGTGGTGTGGATTAACGTGCAGTGGGAGGCCATGTGCCCAGAGCTCAGTGGAGGCTGATGTCCCTTCTGCCTCTGTCTTCCAGGAAAGCATGTGCTCTCCGCAGTGAGGTGAGCCCCCTCCCTGCTTGGGCTCTCTCCTCCAACACTGGGCTCTCCCTGTGTGCCCTTCCAAATTTTCCAAATTCCCCTTCCCGCTTCTCTGGCTACAAGGGGCTCAACTAACCCCACCCCCTGCCCCTGTGCAGCCTCTCAGGCTGTGTGGACCTCACAGGTGTCTGCAGGACCCAGTGCAGAACAGAGTCCCCTCTGCATGCTGCCACTGCCTTCTCCACGCTGCCTCTGTGCACGTTCTGCAAAAGGAATCCAGCTTTCCTGCTGACTTGGGGCTCAGGGATGTGAATTACTGCTGCCTTGCCCCTGCAGTTTGCTTCTGGAAATCCTCAGTCCCTGTGCACAGAGGGCTTTCTTAGGGTGGGGGCTTATGGAGTAGTCCCCTTCTGGTGGGCCCCTCCCAGCCTCTGCGGCTCTGCAGAAAGATGCAAGGGCCAGCAGGCAGTTCTGCTCCTTTCCTGGTCCCCAAAGGACCTCCTTCGCTGGTCCCCCAAGGACCTCCTTCCCATGTTGCTGCTGTTCCAGCCCCAGCACTTCCCTCCTCTGCCCTGTTCCCAGAAGCTGCTGGGGAGGGCTGATTTGGGCTCAAGTGTCCACATGGTCTAGTTAGCAGGGACTGGCGTGGAGTGTCCTGGTCCACCCGTGACCGTCCCTTGTGTTGGCTCTGTGTGTGTTCTCCGAGAAGGGGGCTGCCAGCCAGGCAGACCCTTGATCCTACCTTCAGCGCTCCCCCTCCTCCTGTCTTGGCCCTGTCTCTCAGTCTGTTCTCTACATCCAAGTGATTTTTCTGGAATGAACTTGGGCTTGCCGGTCAGCTTTTAGCAGCTCACCCAGCATTCCTGGTCTGGCCCACTTCTCCAGCCTCATCGTTTGCCACTCCCTTCCACCCACTTTGGGCTCCAGTTATTCTGAGCTGCTTACTGTTCTCTGCGGAGCTCTGCTCTTTCCTCCCTTTGCACATGCTGTTCCCTGCACCTTGCATTCCCTCCTCTACCTTGTCCATTTGGACTCCTCTTCAACCTTTGAGCCCTGGATCAATGTTACTTCTTCTCTCATCTTCCTGCTCCCTTCTCTGAGCTCCCAGCTCACAGGCTTTCCATTGATACTGGTTTTGGCAATGGCTGTGTGGCCTGGAGTTTCATCTGTGTTCCTGGTGGTTGGTTCCTCTGGTCTGGGAGGCACACGGCTGTATAAGTCATCTTTGCAGCCCTTGTCTCTAGCATCGGGCTTGGCACATGTTTATTGAGTGAATGAAGCAGTGAAGAGTCTTCTGGAACCCTCTCCATCCAGTAACTCTGCTGTGATCATGCTGCACTTGGCCAGTTTGGAACTGCTGGTGTTGCTCCCCGCTATTGACCAGCCCTGTCTGATAGTCAACCAGAGCCTCGGGTTTCTGTCCCATTTGCTGCTTCTGAGCACAGTGCTTCCGCCACAGTTGCATGCAGCTATGGCTGTGTTTTGACTCCAATACTGAACCGTATGTTTGGCCTTGGTGTATTTCATTTGTCATGTTCAGTTCCAAATGGTCCTTTTTGCCAAAAGACTATGGTGCCAGAAAAATCCTCCTGCCTCTGATATTTGGTAGCCAAAATAACCAGACTGTAAACTGTTGGTGGAATTCATGACTCGATCTAGTAAATGGCCAAATGCGACTCATCTTTATAAGCCAAATCAAATGCAGGTGAGTGACGTTTACGACAGCTGACAAATGGATTTTACTGATCTCTGGTTAATTTTGGTCATACTCTGTAAAAACGACCTCTAACTTTGCACTCATGAACAACATATATTTGTTCCCAAATAGACATGACCATTAAATGGGACTTAAAGAATATCTGAAATAGAATATTCTTCTATGAAGTGTTATCAAAATGGGGCTCGAGGACCACGTGTGTCAGAATCACGTGGGCCACTTGTGTTAATACAGATTCCTGGGCCCCATCCTGTACTCACTTCACTCCATCTCCTGGTGTGAGGTTCTGGAATCTGCACTTTCCACATGCTCCTGGAATGAGTCTGATGTTTCCTGACGGTTGGGAATTGCTTGTGGGATTAATGATGACGAGAGAACTCATGAGGAAAGTGGGTCACAGTGGTGTGTGTAACGATGTGGTGGCTCTCCATGTCAAAATATCTGTTATTGGCGTTACCAACTGGAGGCTCTGGAGTTCAGATTCCAGTTTGTTCTTTGCAGAGTCCCTTGTGTTGAGGAGGCACCAGAAGAAGAGGGACAGGTTGTGCCAGGTCATGGAGGTATGGACCAGCCTGGTGCGTTTGGGAATTGCAAGCTGTTTCAGGTGACTTGAGCATAGGCATGGAGGGGCCCATGGGGAGGGTGGCAGGCATCCCATGACCTGGGCCAGTCGTGCGTGTGCACATGATGGGCAGGTGGAGAGAGCCGGTGTGCTGATGAGCCAGTCTTTGCATACCTGGCAGTCTTCAACTCTGCCATGTGTCACCTGAGAAACAAGGCTGGCAGGTCAGGTAGGGGCTGAGACCAGGAAGGCGCACTGTGTATCAAGCCCTGAGGTTTTGGTTCTATCCTAAAGGGTATGGGGTGTCATGGAAGGACCTGACCACATGGTGGCATTTGCTGCTGTCTCTATTTGGATAAAATGTGACAAGGAGATTTCTTTTTTTTTTTTTTTTTAATTTTTATTTATTTTCCCCCCAAAGCCCCAGTAGATAGTTGTATGTCATAGCTGCACATCCTTCTAGTTGCTGTATGTGGGACACGGCCTCAGCATGGCCGGAGAAGCAGTGCGTCGGTGTGCGCCCGGGATCCGAACCCGGGCTGCCAGCAGCGGAGCGCACGCACTCAACCACTAAGCCACGGGGCCGGCCCTGACAAGGAGATTTCTACCCACGCTCCCTAAACAGTTATGTCCCTGAGTCGGCATACAGTAACCCAATTTCTTTATTATCAAAACAGCCTTGAAGCCTGAGGTAAATGGAATTTCAGGAACAAGTTCTGGCATCAGACAGACCTGGGTTTGTATCTAGGCCCCATTATTTAATAGCTGTGTGACTATGGGCAAGTTGCTTTACATCTCTGAGTCTCAGGTCCTCCAGGTCGCAGCCTTGGGATGGAAGTAGTCATGAACCTTTCTGCCTGGCCTCTGTTCCTCCCTAGATTCACACAGGCGGCATGATCTCTGAGTACCATTTGTCTGTTTGCTTTGTAGGCATCATCACCGAATCTCCTGGAAACTTCTCAGATGCACCATGAACATCTCTCACTTCCTGGCCTTGCTGCTCCCAGGATCCTCACAGGGTCAAAACAGGAGCAAGTCAAAGGGCATCTCGTACAACTTCTCTGACCACTGCCAGGATTCTGTAGACCTGATGGTCTTCATTGTTACCTCTTACAGCATTGAGACCGTTGTGGGGGTCCTGGGCAACCTCTGCCTGATATGTGTGACTATTAGGCAGAAGGAGAAGGCCAATGTGACCAACCTGCTCATTGCCAACCTGGCCTTCTCTGACTTCCTCATGTGCCTCGTCTGCCAGCCACTCACAGCTATCTACACCATCATGGACTACTGGGTCTTTGGCGAGGTCCTTTGCAAGATGTCAGCCTTCATCCAGTGTATGTCGGTGACGGTCTCCATCCTCTCGCTTGTCCTTGTGGCCCTGGAGAGGCATCAACTCATCATCAATCCAACGGGCTGGAAGCCCAGTGTCTCTCAGGCCTACCTGGGGATTGTGGTCATCTGGCTCATTGCCTGCTTCCTCTCCTTGCCCTTCCTGGCCAACAGCATCCTAAAGAGTGTCTTTCACAAGAATCACTCCAAGGCTTTGGAGTTTCTGGCAGATAAGGTGGTCTGTACTGAGTCCTGGTCACTGGACCACCAGCGCATCATCTACACCACCTTCCTGCTGCTCTTCCAGTACTGCATCCCCCTGGCCTTCATTCTCTTCTGCTATGTGCGTATCTACCAGCGCCTGCGGAAGCGGAGGTGGGTGTTTCGCAAGGGCGCCTACAGCTCGCAGGCTTGGCAGATGAAGCGGATCAATGGGATCCTTGTGGTGATGGTGGCTGCCTTTGCCGTGCTCTGGCTGCCCCTGCATGTGTTCAACAGCCTGGAGGACTGGTACCATGAGGCCATCCCCATCTGTCATGGCAACCTCATCTTCTTGGTATGTCACCTGCTCGCCATGGCCTCCACCTGTGTCAACCCTTTCATCTATGGGTTTCTCAACACCAACTTCAAGAAAGAGGTCAAGGCTCTGGTGCTGACTTGCCAGCAGAGTGCCCCCGTGGAGGAGTCTGAGCATCTGCCCCTGTCCACAGTGCAAACGGAAGTGTCCAAAGGCTCTCTGAGGCTCAGTGGGAGGTCCAACCCCATGTAGCCAGGTCTGCGGCTTCTCCCTGCTATGTTCATTGCCAGGCTCCTTCACTTAGCTAAGTGGGCATCCTGCAAGCTGAGGGTGGCGCTCTGTCACTACTGGCTTTCTGGGGCCCAAATAGGCTGACAAGAGCCTGTTTTTGCATCCATTTGCATTGTGAAGCCTGACATTCAGGTGGTTCAGCTCTTTATTCCTAGGAGAATTCTGAGTCTGGATTCTGCGGGTCACAGTATGCCTTACAATTGAGCAGTTGCCAGAGCCGGAGATGGTCTGCTTGTAGCAGGCAGAGTTCATTCTGATAACCCAGCAACAGATGCCTAGCCTGGAAACCCATGGGTTTCACTTCCACCAGTGAGACTGCGAGGGCACTTTGGGGTGAGGGAAGGAGCACGAGGGGTCAGAACTCTGGACCTTGGTCGGCCCCTACCCTCTGTGAGAGATGACGTTTGTGGAAAGGGCTTGGAAGTGGTAAAGAATGCTATAGAGGCAAGACAGTGGGATGACTGTGACATCATTAGCACATCCAGCTGCAAAGCACAGAACCTGGTAGCCTTGGGTCCTCACACTCCTCTGCGGTAGGAAAAGTAGTCCTGTGCAGCAGGAATTCCAGGGTTCACATCCTACTCCATCCTTTTTCTCTTTCACTGCATCTGCCACCTTGTATGGAAATCAGCTTGCAAGTATCTCCCTTGGTAAGATTGTGAGCACCTTGAGGATGACATCTGTATTGTCACAGAGCTTCCGTCCTCCGTGCCTAGGACAGGCCCTGGCACAGGGACAGGGTTCCAGAAAGGTTTGCCATGGTAGGCTGATGGTAAAGGTGCCCTTGCTGAGTGCTCAGCCAAGGACAGGCACCTTGTGCCATGGTCCTGTGTGGGAAGGGCTCAGGCTGCTGCAGCCACACTCTCTTGCCTGCCCTTCTTTGCCTCCTGGGACCTCTCTTGACATGGTAGCTGGCTAGGGACTCTGTGACCCTCCCAGTGTTGACCCATTGCTGAGGCTTACGGTACTCAAGACCATGATTCCAGGCTTCTTCATTCCACACTCTGGCCACTTGGCTGACCTACCCCAGGTGATGTGTCACGGTTCTTCCAAAGCCTCCCCAGGACTTTGGGCCTCCTAGTGGCCTTCAGTAGTGGCAGGGGCAAGGAGTTCTTGGAGTGTGGCTTAACGGAGTGCTGGCTGAATGGAGCAGGAGGTCTTCCTTCTTCTGGCAAGCTGGGGAAAATGGAGAATAGGCTAGATGAGCACGACTGTCTCACTCATGGAGGTCACAGCCCGGTCTTCTGGATGCTGAGCAAGATCTAAGGCTGCTTCTTGTGTGGACCAGAGCGCTTGTCCTTGCAGGGAAGGAAATGTCAGGATTGCTTGTGGGCCACCTCAGATGGGTTGTCCAGGCCTGGCTCTTCCTGTTCAGACCCAGCCCTCCTCCAGCAGAGTGGACAGTAGCTGGACCCGCCATGGCCTCCCAGGGCAGGGTATTCAGGTGCCTGGAGCCCTTGAGAGGCCTCACTGTGAGGCTCCTAGGACTGGCTCTACAGGGGGTCTGACAAAGGGCCAGGCAGCAGGAGATTGAATAGCCACATCTGACCATCTCTCTGGCCTGGCCCCTGACCGAGAACCTGTGCAGCTGACACCCAAGACAAGTGCTCTTTGAGCGACCAGCTCTCTTCCTGGAGCTGTTTGTTTTGTCCCAGCTTTTGGTCACATCTCCCATTCTGTTCCTTGCTTCACCTGTATCCTGGTTTTTTGGACAGATTGTTGAGTCACTCTCTTGGATGCAGCTTGCACTTGTCCTCTGATGCCATCTGCTGCTGGCTGCTCCAGGGAACCACCTGCCAGCAAAGCCCAAACCATGGGACCCATTCAAGCAAGATGTCATTGACAAGATCCCCAAGGAATTGGGGGCCTCAGGCCCCTCCAGATCCCATGCACATGCCTGGAGTTTGTTTCCTGTCAGTTATCTCAGTGGTGCCAAGATGCTTGAGGACGAGGGTGCTTTAGGGTGCTGGCATGCTGGAGGACTCGGGGACCAGGCTGGGCATTTAGTGAAGGTGCTCAGCATTAGGAATTGGAGTGGTGGGTAGAAGCCTTGTTGAGCATCTTCTGTGCTTCCCTCACCTTGCTTGGGTTGACACAGCCTGCTTGGATGGCTGTCTCCTGCTTCCAGTTCCTAATGCCCCTTGGGGTGGCCTGGTTATCCAGCACCCTAGGAACTTGCCACTAGAGTGTACTCAGAAGACCAGGAGAGTCAGCATCGCCTGGAGCTTGTTAGACCTGCAGAATCTCGGCCCCCACCCCAGACCTACTGAATGGGAATCTGCATTTTATCAAGATCTCCAAGTTAATGGTGCACACATTCGGGTGTGAGAAGCTCTGCTCTAGGAAACATTGCACTGGAGCCTGGAGCCCCTCGGTGAGCGCCTGTAGATACCCACTGTGGGATCTAGGGTAGAGCTTTAGGAATCCTAGTTCTGGAGCTATGGCCTTAAAATGGTATTGCTGAAAAAGTAGATACAGTTTTGGTTGTTTGTCTCATCTCTGGCCACATGTGGACATATTTTTTGTGAAGCCTTTTTGTTCCTTCAATAAATATTTGCCAAATGAACAGTGTGCATAGTTACATTCTTAGTGAACATGCCCCTCTGTATTCTGCTCTATTTCACTGAAAACTATATTATCAGCAGTTTTCCATCTTGCTGTATATCACTTTTGACAGCTGATTAAGAGTTTAGAAAATGCTCCAGTGCAAGCTGGTACCTCTGAACAGTATCTTTCTTTAGCTCCTGGAGAGGCCTTCTCTGGCCCAGCTGATGGACCAGTCCCTCCTCCCCAGTAGTGGGGGTAGTCCGTCCTCAGAGGGGCACCATGGCTGGAACTGGACACTCACACCTATGAAGACTGCCTGGGAACCCTGAGAGGGTGCAAAACTCTGTCGAACCCTGGTGGTGTGACCTTTAAGTCCTGTCTAACTCTAGGACTTCCTCTTTCAAGAAATGACCTTGACTTGTTTTTTTCCGTTATAAAAGTAATCATATTCATTCTTGAAAATACACAAAATCTACAAAAATAAAATGAAAAAGGAAATCATGGTCCACCACCCTAAGATAATCGCTGTCTATATTTTGGGTAGTCATTTCTTTCATTTATATATATATACACACATTATATATATATAACTATATATATATGGTGTTAAGTTTTATTTTTTTTTTGACATGGTTGAGATCATACGATGAGTGTATGCATATTTATATATAATATTTAAGGATTATTTTATATCTTTTTTTTGCTTAATGTTATAAGAATTTTTATTCATTCATTCAACAAATATGTCAGACACATGGTCGGTGCTGGGGTTAAGTGGTAAATAAAGTAGACTCTGTCCCTATTCTCATGGAGTCACTAGGTCCATCCTGCATCCTTAATCATCATCAATTGTGGTATATTTAGATGTTTTTAGACCTATTATAAATAGTTCCGTGATAAATGTCTATGCAGAGAACTTTTTCTGTATTTGGAATTATTTCCTTAGGAGAGATTTCCAGAAGTGGAATTAATGGGTCAAAGGTGTGTGGAAGTTTTTCAAGGCTCTTGAAAAACTTCTAAACTGGTTTCCAAAGAGGCTGGAAGGATTTGCACTCCCTGACTAGTGCCTGCTTCACTGTACCCTGGCCACTGTTGAAAAATTACATTAATGACAAGACCTCCACTGTTCACTAGATCCCGTCCCCTCTCGCCTACTCATGAGCCTCACTCTAGCATCATCAGTTTTCTGGGCTCCCCTTTACACAAAACTCCTCCCAAGGCTCATATAATCTCAAAATCTCTGCTTCCTCTCCTCCCATACGCTTTTGTACTCACCTGTCCATCCAAATAGCTCTTGCCAAGGTTGCCAGTGACCTCCATATTGCCAAATCCGATGGCCACTTCTCAGTCTCGACTTATGTGACCAATCAGTTGGCAGTTGGTCCATCCCTTCTTCTTGAAACTTTCTGCATGTGGCTTTGTCAGGACACCACACTCGTGGTTCCCTCCTGCCTCCCTGGGCACTCTCTCTCAGGCTCTTTTCCTGGACTCTCGTCTTCCTGACCTCGGATCATTGGCATGTCCCCAGGGAGCTATGCAGGCCCACCTGCTCTCCTTCCCTAGGTGGGCTCGTCCCTGTCTTCTGGCTTTCAACATCACCGAATGTTTAAATGTCTAATGCTCCCAAACTTGACTCTCCAGTGGACTTCTCCCTGCTCTCTGGATTTGTATATCCAGCCACTGCTTTGTGTTCATCGGACATCCAGTTGGCATCTCAAACTTGGCAGGTTCAAAAGCAGACTCTTGATTTGCCTCTCCACCTCTCCTTCCTCAGTCTCCCCTCTTTCATTAAATGGAAGCTCCCTCTTTTCATTTGCTTAGGCCACAGTCTTTGGGATCAGCCTTCTGTTCCTACCCCACATCCAACTCATCAGCAAGTTCTGTAAGCTCTGCCTTCAAAATGTATTCAGAATGACCACTTCTCACCTCCCCTGGCTCTGCCACTTGGTCCACGCCACCATCATCTCTACCAAGATTATTGCAGTGTCCTCCTCTCTGGTCTCTCTCAGTCAGAGTGATCGTTTGAAGCCCAAGTCAGATCCCCCCACACCTCCGTTCAAAGCCCTTCACTGGCTCTGTCACCCTCAGTGCAAAGTTCACAGTCTGCGGCCTTCCCCTTGCCCACCCGGCACAAAGGCCAGAGTGCTGGCCTACCTCAGCCTTTGTGCTTCCCACTCTGGCTGCTCAGAATGCTACCCCTGATATCAATATTTTCACTTCCTTGCTCCCTTTACCTTAAGTGAGCCTTTATCAATAGATTGCTTCCTCCACCACGCTATAAAAATACAACCCCCTCACTCCGCATTCCTACTTTATGTCACAGGACTTAGCACCCTGTGACATGCTTACACACATTTGCTTGCTTCATTGTTGAGTGTCCTCTTCCCTCATTGGAATGTAGACCCCGTGAAGGCAGGGACCTCGTATATTTTATTCACTGTCTAGCTCTCAGAAGAGTGCCTGCATAGAGGAGGTGCCGAAGAAATATCTGTAGAGTAAATACATTTAAAAACCTTTATAGTTGATCGAGGGGAATGATACATCAACCTCTTATTTGTGGAGAGCCGGCGTTTGGTTTTGTAGGATTTTGGTCCCAGGTTTCACAGCTGTTGTAGGCTGACTGTGCGACCCTGAGCACCTTTGCCTCTTGGTTTCTGATTCCTCACCTGTAATAATTCTGGCTGCTATGTATTTAGTGTCCTAAACACTGTGCTATTCTTTACACACATAGCCTCCCCTCGACCCCGAGATTGGGTAGATGAAGAAACTGAGGCTTAGAGAGGTGAAAAACTTTATCCAAGTTTTCCAAAAGCACCAGATTTGAAACCCAATCTGATGGATTCCAAAGTCTATGACTCAAACTGTTGTATCATGAGAGAATGTTGACCAGATAACCTCTAAGTTGCCTTCCAGCTGGAGAGTTTGTATTTTCTTTCTTTCTTTTCTTCCTTTCTTTCTTTCTTTCTGTCTCTCTCTCTCCCCTCCCGC